ACTTGTATCCAAGAGGTAATTTTATGTAAACTTCCTCATCTAATACACCATTTAGAAAGGTGTTGTTGATATCTAATTGAAACAAATGCCAGTTACGTGTTTCTGTAAGAGAAAGTAGGACTCGAAAGGAGGTCATCTTTGCAACAGGTGAGAATGTGTCCATGTAGTTAATACCCTCAACTTGTGTGAAGCCCTTAGCAACCAGCCTGGCTTTACAACGGTCAACCGAGCCATCAGCATTATACTTCACCCGATAGACCCATTTACAGTCAACAACACTCTTTCCTTCAGGTAATGGAAAAATGGTCCATGTTCCAAGTTCTTCCATGGCTAGAAGTTCATTACTCATAGCATTTCTCCAAGTTGGAGACTTGACAGCTTGATGAAAATAAGATGGCTTAGCAACAGACGAGATATTTGCAACAAATGCTCCATACTCATTGGAAAGTTTTAAAGAAGAAACAAAACTTTCGATGGGATATAAGCATTTTGAGGAAGTATTATTGCAATAATATTGCTGAAGGTAGGATGGCTTCTGAATAGTATGAGAAGAACGTCGATCTGGTATTGAAAATATTCAGTCGAGGCAGTAGGTTCTAAGGAAACATCTGCGTGTGAGTCAGCACATTCAGGAGAAGCATTATTGTTCAAATCAGTAGGACCAAGGAAAGCTCCATCATTCGAGTTAGTATAGCCAAGGGAAGCATCACCAGTTGAATCATTAGAGCCAAGGGAAGCACCACCATTCAAGTCAGTAGGTTCAAGAGGAATCTGTTCAAATGTACGTGTGAAGCATCGACCATGTCATTTAGAACTTTTGGCAGGCAAAAGTCCTGAAAAATATCAACAAAAGGGTAAGACAAACTTGTATTTCGAAAAGGAAATAACCCTTCATGAAATACCACGTTTGTAGAAATAACAATTTTTTGAGTTTGCAACATATAAACGCGATATCCCTTTACATCTGGAGGATATCCAAGAAACACCGCAGGTAAAGCTCGAGTTGAAAACTAATCCTGTTGAGACTTCAATGTAGAAACAAAGAGAAGACAACCAAAATCTGATAGCCTGCAGTAATCTGGTAGATGACTATGTAAGACTTCATAAGGAGATTTATTGTTCAATGCTGGTGATAGAAGTCTATTAATCAGATATGTTGCAGTAAGTAAATAATCACTCCAAAACTGATTGGCACCTTTGATTAGAAATACAAAGCACGAGCAACAACTAACAACCAACAAATGTTGATGTTTTCTTTCAACTACAGAGTTTTGTTGGGGTGTTTCCACACATGAGAACTAATGCATTATACCCAAGTTAGTAAACAACTCAGTGAATTTTAACTTAGGAGCATTTTTCAGACATGAAAGACTTTATATCAATTTCAAATTGTTTCTTAACCATTGATATGAAGGCGGGTATAATGGTGTTAACATCAAATTTATGCTGCAACAAATAAACCCAGGTAGATCTCGAGAAATCATCAACCAAGGTTAGAAATAAGGCCTGGCCATAATATGTTTTGTGCTTGTAGGGTCCCCATATGTCACAGTGAATTAACTCAAACAACCATGTAGTATGAGAACAAGAAACTGGAAATGGAAATCTTTGTTGCTTGGCCAATGAGCAAACTTGACAATATTCTTTCATTTTTACATTCTTTAAAAGCAAAACATCATTAAGAAGATGCATGACATGGAGACTGGGATGACCCAATCTGTTATGCCAGTCACTAGATAAAATGCTAGAAACACTATTACATGAGATATTAGTTTTGGATGAGGACATTTGCAGCAAATAGAGTCCTTGAACCATCTCACCCTTCCCAATCACTTGATGAAGGTCCTGAATTAAGCATCCCATTTTACAAAACAACACATTAAGATCAGAGAATTTCAACAATGCGCTGGCTGAAAGCAAATTGAATCGAAAATCTGGAACAAGCAGTACATTATGTAAAACAATATCAGATGAAAACCGAACTGTGCATGCAAAGCTGACTGGGATGATGGATCCATTAGGTAAGGTAACTGAACAACTCGTTATAGGAAATAATGATTCAAAATTATTCCTTGAATGACATATATGTCTTGAAGCCCCCGAGTCTAAAATCCAGTAATCAAATAATCCAACACCAGAAGCAGTTATGTGTGATATGATCTTACCTTGCATGACAATATTAATCGAAGTGGTAGGAATATCCAAAGATGACGCGGTTTGTAACTGAGAAGTGAGCATGGCAATCAATTGTTGACATTTCTCAGGAGGAAAAGCTTCAGTGACAGCATGAGAGCCTTGCTGAGAAACAACAGAATTAGTATGAATAACTTAAGAACTTTTACCATGAGAAGAGTTCGAAGAAGACCATTTCTTGGAATTATAACAAGGTGGATAGCCAATCAATTTGTAACACATGTCTTTTGTTTGACTAAGGAGGTTATAATGACTGCACAAGGGTCTTTTCTTGCGAGCATTAGCACCAGAATGAGCCTTGACAGCAAAGGTAGGCTCAGAAATAGGATGAAGAGATTGCATATTTCTTTGATTCTCTTCTTGAACAATTAGAGAAAAAACTTTTGAAATAGGAGGTAGAGGATCCGTTAAAAGAATTTATCCCCTTATATGAGCATAAGATTCATTTAACCCCATTAAGAATTGAATTACTTGTTCTTGTTGTTGTTCAACAAGCATGCGTTGCACTCCTCCACAATTACACTGGAGACAACTGCATAGCTGTCGAATTGAAAACAGTTCATCCCAAACAATTTTCAACTGAGTATAGTAATTGCTTACTGACAATTTATCTTGTACGAGCTCACATAATCGTTTCTTTAAGTGAAATAAATGTGGTCCATTCGACTGCTGGAAATGATCAACCAAATTTTTCCACATTTCAGCAGCATTTGTATGATATAGTAAACTTGCAGTAATGTCTTTGGAGATTGAATTGAGAAGCCAAAAATTGACCAAATTGTTGGCTCTTGTCCAAGCATTGAATTGGTTTACCATAGATGGATCAGGAGCTTGAATGGAACCATCAATGAATCCAAGCTTGTTCTTGGCAGATAAGGCAAGCATCATCGATCTTTTCCAGCTGTGAAAATTATCATTGGAAAGCGGATGGCTCACTAATATCATGCCAGGATTGTCAGGCTGATGTAAGTAGTAGGTATTTTCCCCACTGTCGAAACCGTCGTTCAATGATTCAACCATGATGAAGCGTGAGAAGAGAGAAACAAACTTCTGAAACAATATAACGATCAAGGAAGCTGGAAATGAATAATGCTTTCTTGCATTCAAAGAAGGATTACAAGGCTAGTTTATATACAACTATAAGGTTAACTAACTAACCGAATTACAACTGCTAACTAATCAGCTAACTAATGAACTAACTGATAACAAACTAATTACAATTGCATTACAAGTTGATATACTCTAATAAGATAGATGAACTGCCCATCCATTGTGGCTTCTAGATGCATAATCTGATTCACTCGTTCAAATGACCGGAACAACCATCTACTTTGCAACTAACGTCTAAAACCATTATGAAGTTAATCAAATATTAATTAGTCTAGTGAAATGAGTTGTTAATTATTTTAAGAAGGTTAGAGGCTCGAATTCTAATATTGTGAATGAAAAACTAAATCGTAAGAATCGTTCTCATAATGAACATTTATAATACTTACAACAATAACAACAAAACCCTATTCCCGTAAACATTTATAATACTTGATTTGAATAATTACATAAATTGAGAGGTAATTACTTCAAGGCTCAATGGTCCTATCCATTATTATAAGATTGGAAAAACCTCTTTTGCTTACGGTGTGAATTGACCCATTCAGAAAATTGTTTTTGAAAGTAATGACTATCAAAGATTCAAAGCATGAAAAATTCGAGAGAGTTGTCAGCACATCACATGGTGTGCTCCAAATCTTTTCAAATAAATAAAGGATGTGGCCCTCATGAATGTCAATCTTGGGTACATGTCCAGTGTCCTTATGGCCGGGGGAATGCATTATCAAAATTCTAATTTTGTTAAGACATCTAGATAAATTTATGTCCTATACGTTCAAATACAATAATATTTTCCCTACAAATAGAGTTTACTTCATATTGGAAATATATAAAGAATTATTTTGAGACTGATTTTTGTAATTAAGTTTATCTCGTTCACAAGAAATTCGATATTAATGATTATAAAAAAAGAGATTTAATTATCTAATTTCCACCCATTAAAATTATATTGCGCGAATGGTTGAAGAGTAGTACCATATTGCGTACTTTACAAATTGATCCATTTAGAAAATTGTTTTGAAAGCACTGGGTACCAATAGGGGTGTTTATTCGGTTAAAACGATAACCGACCGAACCGAAATACTCTTAACCGAATTAATCAATTTTTTTCTTTAACCGTTAACCTAACCAAACTTTTTTTAAAGTATTAACCGAACCAAATAAATTTTGGTTAATTCGGTTAATATTCGAATTAACCGAATTTTTTTATAATTTTTGAATTTAATAATTTTAATTAAAAAAATAGTTTACAATTAATTTAAATAATATCTAATTATAAATAATATCTAATAATTTGACTCAAACATTATATTAAAATAAGATATTTGTATATATCAATTTAGTTCAAAAAACCAACAATTTTGAAATTCTACAAAATAAATGGAGCATGGTGCTGGTGCATAAAGGTTGTGCTAACTGCTAAGCTGTTGACTGCTGCTGCCATACCAACCAAGATGATTTCTATCAAGTGTAGAACAATTCATATCTTAAGAGAACATATAACATGCACAGTGCACAACATAGAAATAAAGAGATGCAAAATTCAATTCGAACCATCAAAAATAATAAAAACAATAAAATGTATAAATATCAAATATATCTATTAAGTATCAACCAATGCTAAAATTATAAGTGCTAAACTAACTCAATCTTATGTAATACAATCTTATTCATATATGAATGTACTAAACATCATCGCTTCATCAGAGCTGTGCTAACTAGTAACTACTCCGGTTAATGAAATTAAAAGAAATGTAAGGGAAGAAATTACCACAAAAAATAGTATTCAAAATACTCCATTTGCACCAATTGAATCCTCCGAAAATTTTTCCATTTGCATTATCTCTACAAGAAAAAAGATATTATTTTAAAACTAAAAATACAACAAAAAAAATCATATATATAAACTAAAAAGTACATTGCAATTTACAAGTATCTATTAAGAAAAAATTGCATACCTTTCAACTCATACTCACAGTGCTGCCAGTGCAGAAGCTTATGAGCTTATGAATTGAGGGTAGGCTGTAATGCATTCCAAGATAAATCTAAAAGTTAAAATGATTAAATAAATTAATGGCGTGTCAATTCTCCTCAAAATAAATTCACTTATTAAATTAAAATTAATAAATAAAGAATCACATACTATTATCAATCTTGTCAAGCTCTTGAATTTGTTCTTCAAACTTCTTGATCTCCTTTTAGGTTGATGAATTTTTAATATAATCTTGATTACACACAAGAGCTTGTACCATTTTAGGAGTTAAAGAACTCCTAAATTGATCAATCGCACGTCCACCGGTACTAAATGCAGACTCTGAAGCGATGGTAGAAAGCGGTATAACTAATACATCTTTGGCCATATTTGACAAACTGGAAATCTAGGGGTATTAACTTTCCACCATGACAAGATATCAAATTCATCATCATAATTCTCAACAACCTCCCCTAGATATTTATCTAATTCAGATGTTTGATCCTCACCACCAGTTTCAATCACACGCCTTTTATACAAATCTTTCATGCGTCTTTTCACTTCTTGTTGTAGTTCACTTAAAGAAATTCTCACATTTAAATGGCTTCCATCACTAGAGACTAGAGGCTTATATTCATCATACAATTCATTCAAAGTCTCTTTTAGGTTTTGCATCACTTCAAAACTTTTTTCCGAATCATACATCTCACTAAGTGCAAATTCAAGATAACTTAATTTCTGCCTAGTATCTAAAACACAACCAACAAAAACAAACATATTCATCTTCTAAATATCACCCCAATATTTTTCAAATTTATCTTTCATCCTCATGGTCATAACACTAAATTCAACATCAACACTTAATTGAGCATCCCTTAAAAGTATACAAATTTCAGTAAGTTCAACAAAAAAATTGTTAGATGTGACATATGAAGTACCTAAAATCGCAAAGTGACTCTATAAAAATGTTCCAAGAAATCCCTCAAGTTTCTAACACAAGCCCAATCATTTACAGTTGGCCAGCCCTCTCCTAACTCAAGTTCAACCCTAAAATTTGTATCATGCTCCTCGAATCTCTCAAAAGCTTTCTCAAAATTTTCAACAGTGTCTAACATTAAATAGATAGAGTTTCACCTAGTACAAACATCAAGACAAAACATTTTTTTGCTCTCAATATTTTTCATCTCAACACACTCCATGAACTTTTTCAATCTAGTTGGAGATTATCTCACATATTTCACAGCCCCCCAACAAGTGCAACAGATTTGTTCATTTCCTTTAAACCTTCAACAACAATCAAATTCACAATATGTGCAATACATCTTATATGAAGATATTTACCATTTGCAATGCAAACCCCCTCGAGGACTAAATCTCTTTCTTAAATAACCAATAGCAACATCATTCTAAGTTGCATTGTCAACGGTGACAGTAAACAACTTATCAATCCCCCAATCTAATAAGCATTTCTCAATCATCAACCCAATTACATCTCCCTTATGACTAGAAATTGGATAAAAACTTATGATTTTCTTATTCAATTTCCAATCGTTATCAATAATGTGCACAGTGAGACACATATAATTAACTCTTTGCATAGAGGTCCATGTATCAATAGTTAAACAAACTCTAGAACATGAACTTCTTAAATACTATTTCGGCTTACTCCTTTCATCCAAGTACAACTGATAAATATCTATAGTTATAGTCAATCTTGAAGGAATACGAAACTTGGGGCATGCTACTGACATAAATTTTATAAATCATTCACTCTCAACAAACTTGAAAGGCAATTCATCAGTCACAATCATTTGGGCTAAAACTTTTCTAATTGTTTGTTGATCGAATTTCCAAGTTGTAAGATGTTCTACTTCCCCTCGAATATCCTTACTAGGTAACACTAAATTGCCTTGATTAGTGTTAATGTTGTTAGGATTTTTCTTACACTGTTTCATGTGATATATTAATGACCCAGTTCCATTTTTTCCCATCACAACAAAATTCTTTCTCATAATGATTGCATCTACCCTTACTTTCACCCTCACTATTAAAAAACTTAGTAAAATGAGACCATACTTCTGACCTTAAAGGAATAACTTTTCTTTTACTTGCAATCCCTCTTGCCTTTTGATTTGACTTAAAGCTTCAGTCGTTGAATTTGTAGAATTTGATAAAGGGGTGAAACACTTCCCTCAATAGATGCTGCCATATTGGACATCTACAGAAAACTATATAAGGTATCATGGCATTTATCACTTCAAGAATTCTATTAGATCCCATACTAGACAGTTTTAAGCAACTTAGTTACTGTAATTTCATAAACATGTTAAAATTACTCTTTGAACATAAAATTTCAGTACTGGCAGCATTTGCTTCGATTGTTATCTGAAATAAAGAAGTGTAGCAAGAATCCCATTCTAGTACAAAGTTCCACTGGAGCTTGAGGTATGATATCAATCCATGTTCTCTTAATGTACTTGAGAATGCCAACTTGTGTTTGGACATGCATAAAGATTATTTTCTTGGTGTTTTAGTTATATGAGAAGTAAAGCAAAGTAAGAAATAATCACATGAAAGTGACTTTTGGTGAACTTAGTACCCTTTGCTTGTTTGAATTTGATAGAACTAACACATACAGAGAAAGACAATTCGAGATTATTTGGAATTTAATATTCACCATTCATGAACATAAGTGTCATATTCAAAAACAACAAAGGGCTGCCTAGTGCATGCAGTTCATGAATTACAGAATCTAGGGACTGTCTGTATTTGAGCACTACCATGCTTTCCTAGGAGTTTATTTCTTTGGCTTGAACCTATGACAAATTGCAAATGGAGCTAAAATGAAGTTATCCCCAATTTAAGAATCTCAACTTTTGAAGGAACTAAAATAGTACTACCATGCCTATTTAAGAATCTCAACTTTTGAAGGAACTAAAATAGTACTTAATAAAATGATATAAATGGTTGTTTTTATTCTCTTACTTTATTCTATTGCTAAGGGTATTTTCCAGTTCCTTTCAAATTCGAGTTATCCCCAGTTTTCTCAATGCAAACATGCTGAATTGTCTTGTTTCAGTGGCGACCTTTCTATGTTGCCTTTGAAACGGTCCAAGATAAACTTGTATAAAAACTGATGGATAAATTGTGTATTAATAGGATGTGCCTATAGATTCCAAGAAAATTCTTGTGTTTGAAGATGCACCTGCAGGAGCTCAAGCTGCCAAAAATGCTGGGATGTAAGTAAACTTGTTTTTTTTATTGATTAACTAATACAATTGATTACCGTAGATTTAATGCTCTAAGTTTTACTTTTTGGATTCTCAATTTGATTAGTTCTGCTATTTTTATGTTTATTTTATGTTGTTTGAGTTAATTTCATATAAAATAACCTCTTTATTCTATAAGTCTCTAAATTCTTGATGGCCTTTGATAATTAAACTTTTAATTTCATATAAAATACAAAGAATTTTCAATTCTGACTTTGCAGTAAGAAGGTAGTCCATAAGACGTTATACAAAGAATTTGTAGACAATATACAAAGCTGAGAGACTCTAACAAAACATCTATTAGAAAACAAAAAAGAATTCAACACGCTAAACCTATCCAAAGAGCGAAAAGTCGAGAAATATAGAAATACCAGAATTCGTTTAACGAGGAAAAGATTAACAAACCTGGATCTTCTTGCAACAACGATATGACTACAGAAAGCTATGCTGAGAGAGAAGAGAAGCCAATCGACAAGGTTAATCGCTTGTTGTTAACTAAAGATGCGTCAGATTGAGAGGTTTACAGAGGTAGAACGGGGTGACTGGTGAGATGAGATTGAAAGGTTTAGCCGTTTAGGTTTAACCGTTTCAGCCCTAGCTTAGTTTTGAGATTATTTTAATTAATTAATATTGATTTGGGATTTTTAATGGGTTTTAAATGGATTGGGCCGGTTAATTCTCTTAATATAATTATATTTAAAGGTTAATTTAGTTAATTAATCGATTTCAAATCGAATTAACCTTTAATCAAATTATAAAAAAATTATTAACCGTTTTCCGATCGAACTAATTCAATGATCGACTGAATTAACTAAACTAATTCAATTCGGTCAGTTAATTCGATTAAAACCGAATTTTAAACACCTTAAGTACTAAAAATTCAAATTCAAGGGAGCTGACAACACATTGTATGCTAAAATCTTTTCAGATAAATGAAAGTTGCGACCCTCATTAAAGTCATAATCTTGGGTATATTTTGTTAGAAAAACAACATTTTCTTAAGATATATTTTGTCAGATAAATAAAAATACTATTTTTATTTTGATTTATTGATTGAAATCAATTGAGGTCTATCGCTACATAATTTTCTTAAGACATATTTTCGATCACTCCTTTATTGCTTAAGACAGATTTTCGATCACTCATTTGAAACAACAATAGGGGATTTTCAAGAAAGTAAAATTTCTTGAAATTTGAGAGGTGAAAAACTTAACAGGTTTGTTCAGTATTTATAAGGGATTTCAAGAGAGATTTAATCCAAATATCTATCTTTTAATATTTAAATGTAAACATATAATAATATCTTTTAATTTAATATATTCAAAAGATAAACCATTTTTACCGTTCAAACTTAAATAAATATTATTTTAATTTGAAATATACAAAAGTATATAATTATATTTAATATTCAAAGTTAAAAAGATAAGAAAAACCTTTTTAAATTGAAATATTTAAAAAATAATTATCCTACTAATGATAAAATTAAAAATTATTTTTTAATTTACAATAATGAAAAGTCATATGAATTTATAATAAACCCTTCAATTAAATTCACCATTTTTCCGACCTATTTCTTTTATGTTTTTTTTTCAAACCAAAATAAGCCTCTAGCTGAAGTGATTGACCCACAATTTCAAAGTTGAAATCTTTCTATACATAGTTATGATACCAACTCATACGATTGACCATTTCTGATTCCTTGGAACGGTGCAATTTAGGTCTAATTAAGAAAACCTTTTTTTAGCATTTTCGTTGGATTCTGAAAAAGGTCTTTGTAGTATGTATTTTTGTGGTTTAGTCCCCGTATTCTTGAAATGTGTATCTTCAGTTCGTGGGAGCATTTTGGAGACTATATGTGAAGGTGACCCTATGATTTGCATGCCACTGACCAAAGGGTTAATGCAAGGTATGATTTGCATCGCCCTTAATCCAAGAAAAAAAAAATCAAAACTCATCCTACTCTTAGAACCTGTTTTTCAAAGAAAATCTTATCAAGTCAGATTAGATTAGAACCCATCAGTTGGTGTTATTATGAATTGCTATAATAGGCACTTTAATCTGCTATAAGAGATCAGATACAAAATTCACATTGAAACATGACTTATAATCATCAAAACAGATTCTGAATTGCTGTTTAGACCATGAAAACGATCAACAATGACACTTGTACTAAAAGATCATCGAACTCGGAAAACTACTTACTGTATGTAAAGTTCTTCATTATGAAACTATCATCTTTTGTGGGGTTTTCAAGCTCACTGCTCGAATATCTTCAACTAGACGGTCCAAATTGCCATAAGAAGACCCACCGACACTAACGGATTGATTGGTTACACGAACCATTTTGGTTGCTGATTTTGCAAACTCCTTTCGGTCCACCATCACATCATTCACCATTTTCTCAACTATCTTCCGATCGGAAACATCCTTCATATCAACCCAATTTTCCACACCCTACTATTCACTTGTTGGTCAGCGAAGTAAGGCCAGCAAATCATAGGTACCCCAGCAACAATGCTCTCCAAAGTCGAGTTCCATACGCAATGAGTCAAGAACCCCCCAAACAGCCGGGTGGTTCAAGACTGCCTCTTGCGGTGCCCAATGGACGGTGTAGCCTCAATCCTTAGTCTTCTCCAAAAGCTCAAATACAACATCATCCTCCCCTTCACCATCTCCAGTCACGAAATTTGGCCTTACAACAAGCAAGTACTTCGCTTTACTATTAATAAGTCCATACCAAAGCTCTACGAGTTTCTCCATTGACATGCTCGTAATGCTACCAAAACTTACATAGATAACAGATCGATTTGGTTGCTTGTCAAGCCAAGGAATGCAGCTTTCATCTTCTTCCCAAGGAGTGTTCGAGAAATGATCGTGCGGTTCTCTATTTTCTGCCTTGAGTCTGGTGTTTAACTGAGCATTGATCGGTCCAATGGCATAGACGGTAGGGCATTTGGTGCGTATTTGAGATAGTATAGGCCCATCGAGCTCTTCGGTGGTGTTGAGTATCAAGGCGTCGGCTCGAGTGCTCCTTCGTGTCTCTTTAACAAAAAGTTTGATAATTGGATCTTCCATATCAGGAGCTCGGCAAAAACTCGGAAGGTCTAGACACCCAGAGATAAGTTTCCATGCCTGGAACTGTTGTTATCAACAGATCCATGACTTCACTACCTCCAACATTTTAACAAAAAAACACATCAACCAGGTCAAATAATGTATAACAAATGCCATGAAAAACTTAAACAAACAGTTCTCATGTAGATTCTTCAATTAGAACCTGAACTTAAACTCAAAACAGAGCAAAAAGGAAAAACAAAAGCTCAATTGCAAAAAATGACCCTAACACCAAATCCGATATTACTTGAACTCAAATGGCTCAATCTGAAAAATTCAGCCGGCAAGTTCAAATGACCCGAACTCGAAATGATCTGTATCGAGAACAAAACAACTTGAACACAAAATAACCTGAAAACCTGAATGAATTAAAAATTTTAACACCCGAAATGCAGACTAACACCAATCCCAATCCAAAGCCAGTCAATCTCACCCAAATAGAGGTCTATTCCAATGTAATTCTCATAAAAATGATACTCAAAAGGAGTTTGATTTACCTTTAATAGGAAGCTCCCCAGCTTGGATTATATCAGGGATAGAATAATACGCCCAAAAACCATGGGGACTGCTGGTACGAAAACAAATGATGGGGATTCCAAGCTCCCTCGCAACATCAACAGAAAACCCTAAAAACCCATCTCCGATTATGCAATCCACTGTTGGACTGATGTTCAAGAGAATCTCTCTCAAATCTCGCTTCATTTTCGTTTCGATGACCTCTTCGTACATCTCCATAAATCAATTCCCCGACCTGGGATGATCAAGAGGGAGACCATCGGATATGGTCTTGAATTCGAAGCCTGGGTATCTTGCGAAGTAGGTGGAGATGTCGGTGAACTTGAGGAGGCTTTCGTTGTTTCGATCGGAGTTGAGGAAGGTGAGTCTGAAGCCGGCGAGAGCTAGCAGTTCAGCTAGCTTAATCATGGAGTTTATATGGCCTTGTAATGGGATGGGAAAGATGAGAACATGTGGAGGATGAGCTTGTACGGATCGATCCTTATCCATTTAATTACAGGTTTCCTTTTCTTTTGGTTTCTGAGTTTCAACTCCTCGGTCATCAACGTTTTGGCACTGATATAATTGTCATCTAGGGCCTTTTATAGAAAGGAAGGCCGCGGTCAAATATTGGATAGAGTTTTTTTTTAACGTAATCAACCGAAAATAGTGTATGTGACGAGAACATCCGAAATACAAGTAGGATGAGCATATTCAAAATAAAGAGGCGAGACGACTGGTGGCTGAATAACTGTCCCCTAAAAGATGAGTATCCAGAAATTGATACGACCATGCGAAACCAGAAGGTAGTTTTACTCATCTCTAGTGAGAAAGAGTGGCAATTGCAAAATGTTATTTACCTGGGTTTTAATTTATTATTATTATTATTATTATTATTATTGATTACATTTTTGCAGGTCAAGTTACAACAGATCCAACCTAATTACAACCTAAAATCTAAATATTACAAAATAAGCCCACGATAGTAGGTCCAACAAGAGAAGCCCACATGGCAGCCCATCAGCACACTAGGGTTTTATCATGTTCCCCAGCCGCCAGACCCTTCCAACCGTTGGTTCTGTACTTGATCCAACGACTTAGATGATGTTGTAATACCCAAACTTCGGGCCAGTGATTGAAATGTAGGGATTTATATTTGATGGTGTGTTTTGAATAAATTGAAAAGTTCAATGATTGAATTAGAATTTTTTATATAGGATTTATTATCAAAGATTGAGGAATAGAAGAGAAAATTGGTCTTTTGTCAGGAAATGAATTTAAAATTCATTTTTTAAAGGATATTTAAGCATGTGAGGGAAATAAGGTAATTCTTTCATTTCTAAGGTAAGTAAATTGAACTTGGTTAATTCTTTCATTTTTGAGTTGGTTTTGGTTCTTTGGGTAATATAGAAGCTTAATAAAGCTTAAAGACGAGTTGAAACTTAGAGATGGATGAATTAATGGTGAATTAGTAAAATGAGTTTTTAAGGGAATTGTTAGAAAATGATGAATATTTAGATTCTAAAAGAATATTTGAATTGTTGAGGGTTGTAAAAAGATGTTAGAAGTGTTAGAAAGGATTGAGAACATGTTTGGAAAACTGGTATGATTTTTTTTTTCAAGAGTTCTACGGGAGAATTAGATGTTAAATGAGTTTTAATGGATATAAGTTAGTGGGAATAAGTGTAAATGAGTTTGAAAGCAGGAATAGAGTTAAGGGTAAGAGATTTAAGTGAAGTTTGGGTAAAATTTGAAGTGAAATAAGTGAAATCTAGGTAAGGGTATTGATACTAGAAAAATAGTACCGATACTATAAGGTTAAAATTTAAGGAAAGAGTATGAATAAGATGAACAATATCGATACTGATGAAGTAGTATCGATACTGATGTGGAAGTATCGATACCAAAAGGAAGGTATCGTTATTGTAATTAAAAAGGAAATTCCAAAATGCTAAAATGGT